AGGAACCTCAGCTGAGAATCACTGCTGCAGATGGTTGATTCAGTGAATATCCAATTCTTAAGTGTTAACTAATAGTTAGATAGTTTTCAGTGTGGGGATAGATTTGTATTGGGTGCTTCATTTAAAAATACTGGGTTTTTGTACACAGAAGTCTTCAACAGCAAAAAAAAAAAAAAAAAAAGCCGAACTGAAAACAGTGGAAGATCATTCTAAGAGGCCTGGACAGAGTCATGTGGAGTACTTAAGTGCACTGGAAAAGCATTATGTATTCTGTGTAGTGACAGTGTTGTGTGTCACACATCAAAGTCAGACAGCACTTTGACACTGACCTCAAAAATGTTGCCAAACTTGGTGAAACTGAAAGTTAAGTTTCTTGATGGGAAATGGAAGAAATGTCTTTCCTAGTATCTTAGTTTTTGCACCTGTCTTTCTAAAACAAGTCATCTGACAGCTGCCAAAGTTCACCGTGCATAGCACAACATGGTAAGACCCCCATGGATGGGGATTTTATCAAAATGGCCATGTTGTCTGGGAGTAATTCCCTTTTTCACAACTTCCCAAACAAGGATAAAATTATGCAACGCATCTTGGAGATACCACTTAGCAGAAATACTGTCCAAGGTGGAGTTCTGTGCGTGGCAAGTGATGTTTGCTGCTCACCACTGACTTACAAAGGGCAGCCTGTTTTTTTCATGTGCTTCTATGAAAGCAAAGACAAATAATCATCCAAGCCCAGTAGTAATTTTGCATTATGCTGTTGGTGGCATCATACGAGAAGAATTGGTGTTTTTACCTGGAGGAATACAAGCCATAGACATCTACAGTGCTGTGAAGAAGGCATTTTTGTCACAAGACGTAAGACCAGGAAAAGTGGCTTCAAATACTTGTGATGGGGCACCTTGCGTGGTGGAGGCAACATCTGGTTTCATACAGTTCTTTGTTAAAGAAGCAAAACATCCATGCATTCAGTTTCATTATATTATACAAGAAGCTTTTTCTTTCTTTTGGTGCTGTGAATTGAACTCAGGACCTTGCCCTTGCCAGGCAGGCACTGTGCAGCTGAGCTATCTCCATGCCCCAAGAAGCTCTTTGTGCTCAGTAAAGCAGTAAAAACATTAAATGATACCCTCAAAAATGTCACAAAAATAGTGAATTACATCATGGCTCATGCTCTTAATTTTCGACAGTTTCAAGAACTCCTTGAGGTTCAGGCACAGTGTAATATTTTGCTTATGTACAGTAATGTCTATTGGCTGAGCAGAGGATGAGTCCTGGAGCGAAATTTAGACTGCTTGGATGATACTGCGCTGTTTAAATTTAAAAGAGCA